CCCCATGGGTTAAAGGTTTTAAGAAACATGTTGTTCGCTAAACTCTGACGATTTTATCAGTAAATTAGTTTAGCAACTTAAAAGCTACATGACATTTCTCACTAATAAGGTAATAACGGCACTGTTCATGAAGCAGGTGAACTTACAGTTTTGCTATTAGTAGAGGCGCTGCTGAACAAAAACCAGACGAATGTCTTCATCTGAACAATGTTTTGAGGTGTGGTAACTGTAGTATAAGCGGAATAATTTACTCCGGTCCATTTAATTATTTGAAAATAATGTACACCCAAGGTGTAATGGCCACTCCGCTTTGCGTTGTAATAATTCAATGGCCCGTCATCAATTATTCCTTACATATTTCAGCAATTTTATATTCTAACCAAAATATCTTCCAAAAATATATTCTATCAGTAAGCATCGTTAGGGAGCCTTTGAGTTCCTGTGAGCTCCTTTAAGAAAACAGAGGGTGTTTATGATTACTACTATAGTGATTTTCAAGTTGAAATTGTGTATAAAGCATTACAGTGACTGTTAAAAATGTGTTTTAGGTTTTTAGGTATGGGAGTTGCATATTTTGAATTTTAATATTTGGGATAGGGTCATTGAGCTAGTTTTATTACAGAAACCTGGCAACCTTGGTTAAGGGCTACTTGCTTTTTTGCGCTTGTCCATCACATTTGACAGTCATGAATCATATTTTTGGTTTAATGTCATATTATTTAGGGTCACTGCTAAATAGTAGTAGAGGCTTGAAAAAAGTAGAGGCTTGTCTGACACCCTGCAGTATTTCAGTGTCTTGAAATATGTGGTTAGTTATCAAGTGATTAGTAAAATTGTGGGCCTAACAGATGTTTTATAATTGGAGTTGAACTTATTTTTTTAATGTTTATTAGAATGCATTTCTGAAAGAAGATGATGCACAATATGATTCACAATACACAAAAAAAGTAGAATATACAGTATATGGATCCACAATCTGGTTATCAGTGGATATCAGCGTTTTAAAACAAAAAAAAAAAGTATTATTATTATGCGGTATTGGCTGCTAAATGATGGTTTAAATCTTAAATGCAACAATAAAAAATGCTTTAATAAGTTATATCTCTGAACCAAAACAGTTGACAGATGAATGTGATAACTTGTTGTTGCGATGAGCGCAACAGATTTATTTACCTCAGAAAGTACATGGATTGTATTTCATATTGTATTTTTATTCATCTTGATTTTTCACAACTTGTGTGAAGCATAGAAAAATGGAAAATGTACTGGTAATTTTCTGCCAGGATATTATGCTAAAGTTTACAGACATCTATTTTAACCCTAAAATACAACACAATGCAATGTGTGATTTAAAATATGCGGAAAACACCTATGAAAAATCAATTTGAAAAATAGCTTTATATTAACACTACACTGTGCTTTATCTTTACGGACTTTCCTTACTTTAATCAACTACTATTCTTGTTAAATGTGGCTTACCAAGTAGCAAAATTATAACTATGATGAAAAAAGCTAAACTTGAAGGAGGGATTTGCTTGCTTAGCTTCAGTATCAAGTGCAAGGTAACACAAGTGGATACAAGTGGAAACTCTAGTGTGACAAGACAAATAGAGTGGTATAAAAAAGCAAGAACTGTGGGATGAAGGACTGTTCACCAACCCTTGTATCAACTCCCTGAACACAGCAAAACAAACCCAAGCCAAAACAACAACAACAACATGTCTCTTGTCGTGTCTCCAGTCTGTCACGCTGGTGTCTCTTTCGATGCTCTCCCCGGTTGCCACCGTGACTCAAAGGGTCTTGTCGGGTCCCCTCTCTTCAGAGCAAGATCTGTAACCTTGTCTCGTATTTCCCTCCAACTGAATCCCCCATGTTTCCCCCACTTCTGACAAGCATTTATGACCTTGCAACCCATCTCTCTCACTGGGGAGACCCCATCCCTCTTTTCTTCTCCATCCATAAGTCATTCCCCACACTTTCACCAGCATCTTCCCAAAACAACCTGACATGCGGTAGTCGCTGTGGTGCGCAGAGTTGAAGGAGGGGAGGTAACCATGCCAACAATCCCATCTAAAAGCATGCTGAAGGTTAAGGGTAGGAGCAAAGCTCCAGACATGCACTTTAGATTATCCTACTTCAATTACCTTCAACTATTGCCCTTTATTCAATTGTCTGTGTATATGATGATACACGGGAATGTATTAAATTCAGCATAAAATATAAAAATGAAAAACACTTCAAGCTTTACTCTGACAACAAATATTGAATGAATCATGTTACATGAATGTATCCATATTATTTTATATAATATACAGTATGCATTAACTTTTTTATATCCATTATATACTAGATATGAAATAATGTAAAATTACATAAAATATAAAGTTAATTTTTAATTTGACAACACAAAGCTAAAAGTGATAAATGCCACACTACTGTTCAAAAGGTTTGGGTTAACATTTTTTTTAATGTTTTGAAAGACTTATTATTTGATCAAAAATACAGTAAACACAGTAATGTTGAGAAATATTATTAAAGCTTGAAATAACATTTTCTAATTACATTTATTTTAAATTGTAATATATTCCTGTGATGGCAAAGCTGACATTTCAGCTGCCATTACTCCAGTCTCCATTATTCAAGTATTTCTGTTCAAGTATTTGAATAAATATAGTTCCTTTGAGTATGTTCATTGTTTATTTTAATGATATAAAAGTACAAAGAAAGATTATATTTATTGGTTGAACTGCTTCAATTGCTTATTTACAGCTTTCAGAAATTATAGACTTCACTTTCACTTTTATGGAAAATTGATTACTAGTGCTTTTTCATTTTTCACTATATCTCCTTGATCCTCTTCCTGCACTTTATCCCACAGTGTATCGCTTATTTCTCCTCTCCTTTTCCTCCGTTCTGTTGCTTTCTCTCTTTCAGCAGGGGGGCTGACACACAGGGGAGGGGGGCACAAAACCAGCCAGGCAGAATCGACAGAGCGAGAGATGGAGGAAAAGAGAGAGAGCGAGAGAGAGAGCCAGGGCCTCTGATTTTGTGACAGCCAGCAAAGGGAAAGTGTTCCCCGGGGAAAGAGAGAATGAGGGAAAAGATGGAGAGAAAGAAAGAGGGAGATAAGGGGAAAACTACACTGAAGCAATGGAGGAGAAAAACTGTCACAAATCGACACTTCCACCTCGCCAATTGGACCTTTTAGGCCCATACACACTACATATGCAGTATAGGATGTACTTTCAAATGGAAGAGTTAGAGTAACTGTACATTCATATCCAACATTTTTCATTGTCTTTTCTTGAATTTCAGGAGGAGATTTTTCTGGCAGTCCTTATTCCCATCCGCAGTATTCAACATACAACGAGTCTTGGAGATTTGCAAACCCCAGTCTACTAGGTAAAAGCTTGAGCTGAAAGCACAAATATATGGACAGTGATGCAGAATACTTGCTCTCTTAATGCTTTTAAATATATAATAATGTGTTAATGTGCCTTAAAAGGAACAATTCAACCAAAATGAAAATTGTCATTATTTACTAATTGTCATTAATTACTTTCTGCATCAGAATAAAAAACAGAAAGATAATTGTGACTTTATCTCCCGATTGTGATTTTATATCTCACAATGTATCTATTTATCTCCCAACTGCAACTTTACATCTCTTCATATGTAACAGTTACAACTTTATATCTCACAGTTAAACTTTTATTGCAATTAAAACAGTTTGTCCTCATCTGCAATTTTATATTCCATTCTGCAAATTTGAACTGGTGCCATGACTAATTACGACTCATGCAAGAACCAATGTATGTAAATTCGATTTCAGGGTTTCAGTGAAGGGGGAAATTACTCACGCAAAGCTTTTGTATAGCTTATATTTACTGTATCATTCAAAAAAGTAATTAGTAATTGAAAGTCATTGAAAGACAGTAATTATTCAGCAAGGATGCATCAAAAGTGACACTAAAGACATTTATAATGTTACAAAACATTTCTTTTTAAATAAATGCTGAACTTTTTGTATTAAATAAAGAATCCTGAACAACTATATCCAGGTTTCAACAAAAAGTTGAAAACATTGAGTGTGTTTACATGCACCCTTATAATGCAGTTATAATGGGATTTTTGGTAATATTGGAATTAAACTTTACCTTATGTAAACACAATATTTTGATCAAAATAGTGAGATTAAGCTCATAATTGTAGCAAGCATAATCGTATTAAAATATGTGGCGTATGCCAATTTTGAATCATGTTATTACAGCTCTAAACAACATACACATGTGCTTGCCTTGGACATACACGGATGCCGTGTGTTGTTCACACAACTTCATAAATGAACTCTGTGACATTATTCTGAAGCAGGTCTGGATCTATTCGGGTGTTAGAGGATGCTAAACACCCTCGAATGAAAGCAAGAGCACCCTTAGTTGAGGCTGTAAAAATAGGATATTGGCAAAACAGATTTGGTAAACACTCTAGTAAGTATTCATGTTTGCGCTCAGGAGAGCTTCAAAGGTTTCTATTTACAACGTGTTTTTAAGCATTGAGCAATATAGCCAATCACAGACATATTGGTTGATTTCTTGAACGCAGTGGCCAATCAGAGGTTTTTCAGTTCAAGCGTCCCTTCTGTTCAAAACGCTGCATTTTTGTTCTGCAAGCTCACTTTAAATCCTCCCATTATATTGAAGACACAATGTAAATAATAGATTCATTGTGCATCGTAGAGAGATTCATGGATTATAACAGAACTTTGTGTGATCGCAACATTGCAATGTTCATCACGGAGCTGAATAACCTTCCAATAGCCTATGTCTGTAGTCATGTTTTACATTTGTTGTAAGTGGCCAGTGGCCAGTAACATACCTAATATGTGAGTTCATCGTTTGTGTTGTGGGGTATGCGAATAATGATGGTAAAAACAACCACACTTCTTGGAAACATGAAAAAAAGAACATGATTACACGTGGGGTAAATAATAACAGAATTTTCGATTTCTGTGTGAACTAGTTATTTAAGTAGAATAAATGCATTGATTTAGAATACTTTATAACGGATTCATTTATAGTCACATTTCTAAAATAACCTAATTTACTGTGAATGATAAACTTACTGATTTAAGTTGTTGTATGTGTGTGCACTTTGCAGTGTTCCAGCAGGAGTACGGTTCTTTACTGGGCTCGGAGAGAGCAGCTTCATCGGGTCTATTCCCTGGCCAAACCCCACAACCTACAGGTACATTACACCCATGCTATCAGAGGGGGATGTGTGGGTGGTTTGATGTTTGAAACATTGTCGGGTTGGCTTGCCATATGTGTATGTATGTATGGTGCACTGCACAGAATGAGCGGTTCAGAAGAACCTGCCCCCGATCAGCAAAACCTCAGACTGACACACCAGTCAAAAGCAAGGTGAAGGGGCATTGACTTAAAAATAGTTCTATGTGTGTAAGAGAGAGCCACAGAGCTGACCTTAATGCTCCCAATGGAGAAGGGATTCCTTGGAGATTTCATGAGCTTTTTGCTTTGTGTGTCAAGAAAGAGACCCTGATCTGACAGACGCTTGACAGTGTTTGTGTGAAGTGCACTATTAGGGCTTGACTATATATATACAGTATATGGATTAAAACATTTCCACTGTAGATTCAGAATCTTTTAGGATGTAAAACATGAATGTAATGCTTTAAGAATTTAATCATTTTTATAATACAAGTCATAGTAGTAAATTATAGTTACCTACATACAATTAATTGCTGATTCAGAGTGTTTACCTGATTTAGGGGCCGTTTACACGACAACGTTTTTGGCCAAAAACGGGAAAAAATTGTATGCGTTTTGCCTGTTCGTTTACACGACAACGGCGTTTTGGGGACTGAAAACGCATATTTTTGAAAACGGGTTTCTAAGTGCAAGTTTTTGAAAACGCCACCGTTGTCGTTTCCGTGTAAACACATACAGGAATCTTTGAAAACGGTGATGTTATGCGCATGCGTAGTACGTGTTAGGTATGTAGACATGCGCAGTACGTGTCGATTTTAAAGGCAAGCGCGAACAAACATACACAACAATGGCGGAGTACATGGTACTGTTGTTGCTGCTCAAGAGTTGGCTAACGCTTCTTCAGCAAAGTGTGGATTTTTTTTTATTTATTTTTTTATTGCAGTTTTTAGAACAAAGAACATATAAGGGCAATAACATTTAAACTGAATGAAAACAAATACTTAAAATAGATAAATAAATAAATACAAATTAAATAAGAAAAGCAATAAAAAAAAAATCTCATGTCTGTAAACAAGTACAAATAATTACAAATTATTCAAAGAATAGATTTAAGGCTTTAAAGTAATTTAGTTTTTTTTGCTTTGTTATTTCTTGTTTCTTTTAACGTATACAGGTAGTGAACTATTTCTATTTTGAAATGAGTAAAATTAGGTTTTTTTCACTGCCCATTTACATTTGTGAATAAAGAATTTTCCATATAAAATTAGTACATTTCATAAAAAAGTATACTCATAAAAAGATAAAACATCCTTTTCTTTGAGTTGCAATTCAATATTAATACTTTGTTTAACAAAAAAACCCAAATCATACCAAAATAAGTTTGTATAAATACAATCATAAAATAAATGAACAATACTCTCATTTTCCTCTTTACAGAAAACACACTTCAAGTCAATGTCATTATAAAACTTTGCAATTACCTGTTTTACAGGATAAATACGATGAACAATCTTGTATGATACTTCTCTAATTTTATTTGTGATACAAAAACGTCTGGAGATCTTAAAGGTTTCTTTCCAGCTGACATCTTGAAATTGTGATCGCCAAAAACCAATGGCTAAAGGAACACTGCAAATGATTTACTTCACCAATATTACAACCAACAGTGGAGACGCATCATATACATCATATAATCGTCACTTCCCTACAGGTACTGTTTACTAACAAGGTGACAGAGCCAACTACTGGCCTGGCATACGTAATACAGGGTTTTTGGCCATTTTCGCGGATATGTGTAAACGCGAATCGTTTTGAAAACGTTGGCGTGTAACGTTATACGTGAAACTTTTTAAAAACGCAAGGGGAAAACTTTTCCGTTTTTGACTACATCGTTGTCGTGTAAGCGTGGCCTTAGTTAAACATAACTGGTTAACAAAAAATTTAAGTTCAAAGCAGAAGTGCCACTGAAATTTCTCTGCCTTAATGCTCTCATCTTAGTTGTGAGACAGTATTTATTTCCTGAAAACGCTAGTTAATGTTTTTGTATTGAGCTAAAACAAAAACTACTAAATTTGCTCACATGGGGTATAACAACTTCCCCCAAAACTGATCATTTTTGTAATTTCTTTGGATTTCTTTCCCACATTGTTACACCTGTGGTGTAAGAATTGCTTATACATATTTCATTATACTACATTATTACCAAATATTGGATTCAATCTTTTTGTCAAATGAAATCTTTCAGTTAGCACAGGTTTTGTATTTCTTTTTGGAATTTAATGGTAGTAGGTCTCATTGATCTAAGCTTATGCATCTCAGATGTTGAGTGAACATTGCCAAAACTATCCACAAATAATGATTTTTCACTCAAAAACAGTGACATCTTGATATACTTCACACTCTCAAACCCTGTTTTTACAGCAACACAAAAGCTACTTAATCACACTCACATAATCTTAATTTCAAGTGAAGACAAACACACCCATCCACCACATTTCTCACAATTTCAAACTCTTTAACTCCGGCAACAAAGACTAAGCAGCACAGCTGTCCCTCTACTCTGTTATATCCCTCACTCATGCCCGCTGTCTCTGTGTAATAAAGAAAAATACTTCCTGCTAAAACTAACTATGATACTAAAGACATTTAATCTTTGAGGGGTCCATCAGCACTTAATGCCAACACAGACTGATCAAGATGGATCACGTGTCTTATGGTCTAAATGGTCTTTTCCCTGCAGAATCTGAGCTGATGATGGTGGTGTCATTTCAAATAAGAGGAAGGGTGACTTTATTGTGGGGGACTTGATAAATAAAAAGTACACTGGGCTGTACATCCATCATCCTGTGATCATATTTTCTTGGTAATGAATTCATTGCTTCTTATTTAGCATTTATCTTAATGTGATTTGAGATCAACAGCAGTTCAAGACCATTTTAAGTGGAGGGATAGTTATAAAATAAATACAGTGCTACAAACAGGAGTTCATATGGTTTAAAAACTAACATTTTTTATGCTTAGAAATTAATGCTTTTTATCAAGAGCGACATCAAAAAGACAATGATTATTCGTATACATGTATGCATTTGTATTTATATATACATAATAAATATACACAGTACACCCACATATATTATGTACCCAAAAACATTTATTTTGGATGCGATTAACGCGATTAATCGTTGCCCAGCACTAAATGTTACAAAAGATTTCTATTCCAAATAAATGCTGTTTTTTATTAACTCATAATCATCAAAGAATCTTGAGAAAAATGTAGCAGCACATGATAATAATAATGTTTTTTTGTTTTGTTTTGTTTTTTACCATCAAATCAGCATATTAGAATGATATCTGAAGGATCGTGTGTCACTGATTTTATTGGCTGCTTTTGTGTACATAATATATGTGTGTACTGTGTATATTTATTATGTATGAATAAAGACATATGCATACAGTATATATTTAGAAAATATTTACATATATTCACATGTATATATTCATATAATTTATATTATATATAAATATATTTAATATATAAACATAACATATTTTTCATATATATATATATATATATATATATATATATATATATACATGCATGTGTGTGTATTTATATATACATAATAAATATACACAGTACACCCACATATATTATGTACCCAAAAACATTTATTTTGGATGCGATTAACGCGATTAATCGTTGCCCAGCACTAAATGTTACAAAAGATTTCTATTCCAAATAAATGCTGTTTTTTATTAACTCATAATCATCAAAGAATCTTGAGAAAAATGTAGCAGCACATGATAATAATAATGTTTTTTTGTTTTGTTTTGTTTTTTACCATCAAATCAGCATATTAGAATGATATCTGAAGGATCGTGTGTCACTGATTTTATTGGCTGCTGCCATCACAGGAATAAATGACATTTTAAAATATATTAAAATAGATAGACAATATTACTATTTTTCACAATATTACTGTTTTATTGTATTTTTGATCAAATAAAAACCGCCTTGACGAGCATAAAAAACTTCTTTTAAAAATATTTTACAAATCCAGACATTTTTTCTTCTGTTTTAAAATGAGTACGTGGTGTTTAAATGTGTAACTTAAACTGACTTTCAAAACCTGGATTCATTTAAATTAGTGGTTGATAACAAATTTAGAGGGTCACTGAGGGGCCTAGCTTGGTGACACATGGGCCCCTGGCCTTTAGAATTCTTTCTTCTTAATCTGATGACTGACAGATTTGTTTTTTCATATCGCTTGTAGGATCTCCATACTACTATAGCGCAGCCACACGGGGAGCAGGAACGGCTGCCACAGCAACTGCCACTGCCTATGACCGCCACTGACCAGCCGGACAGAGGAGAGGAGGAATGGTGGAGGAGTGGGCCAAACAAAAAGAAAAGAGGAGTGAGAACGGATTGATAGCAGCCACACAAGACTGTCTACACTTAGAAGCAAAGAAATGAAGGAGGAGCAGGAAGGAGGAAGGAGAAAGAAGAAAGAAAGAAGAGGTGACAATGTTTTCCTGCCGATTACAATCAATGGTCCAATCAGTATTTTCAACTGATGTTTCTAATTTCTGTTGATTAGTGGAAAGTATACACCCATTCACCTGTATTCCTGTGGTCTCAGCTCACACTAAATCTGTTATTGCTTTGATTTATCTTCTGTCATTAAAGCCTTGCTTATCCTATCGTCTTTGCATCTCTATGCAGTCTGTTCTTAGAGATGATCAGGTGTTGGGAGTTGATACCAGACAATCTACTAGTGGCAGCTTGAGATGACCTACGTACGTGATTTGAGTTCATTTTTGAGTCATTTGATCAAATGTGTGAATGTGGCGTCATAATCTGTGGCAGACTTATTGTCTGTTAAAACCATGAATTGTTTCGGAGAGAACCTAACGTATCAAGTCAACGGAGACTTAATAGAGTTGGACGGATAACTCAGGTCGGAATATTGGCATTATTTACATTAAAATTAGCCAGCGTGAAGGACAGACCCATTTCACTATTGATCACGGGATGCTTCCACTTGAAAATGTAGCATAAATACGGTAGAGCTAGGAGAGAATATACTGGAAATCAGCCCTGATGCATAAGCACAAGAATACTTGAGCCCTCTGTTGTAATCTAGGAACCATTTAGACATAATGGACTCTTTATAAACCGAATTACATCATAAATGGGACTGTTTTGTGATTTGGCCATTGTGTAATATGTTGGAAAATTGCAGCATGATTTAAATGTTTAAGCACTGTCGTTATGAATGAGAACATCAGTATTTTAAAGACTCCTCTCCTTCCTCTATGTAGATAAATACTATTTACCTTTGTACAGAATACCCTTATTCAACTGTACATTAGTAAGATTTATAGCTATTTATGATGGAGAGTAATATATATAATTGTGTGTAAAAGTTTACTGCGGACAAATGCTACTGCTAGCTAAAGATGTTGCCGTTGAATACATAGCTGGTTCTCTTTTTAACCCCCCGATGTTTCATTCCAAACACAAATCAGTTGCAATTAAAAGAGCTTGCTGGCATTAAGCACTGACAAGCTTTTGTGAAGTTGCTCCATTTTAGAAGGGGAAAACCATTAGCGATGCTACTTCCCCTAACAGGAAGTGATGTCATACTGTCTGTCCCTTCAAATCGTTTCCTTAGCCTCCCAAAAGATACTCTTCAGTAGTGGAAATAGACACTCTTAAAAGCACAAAGTGACAAATCTGTTATCCAGAAATGGCTTTTTTTTGGTCCACGCTCTTTCTCTCTGAGTGCATTTGTTTTTGATTATTCCCTTCATCCATACTGCGCCAAGACAATGCATGAGACCAAGGTGGAGGCCTTACCAAACTCTCTATGTAGCAACATCATGCTGTACATCCTTCCTGTTTGTCTGTCTGAGATATCCTGTACATCTATCACTTACAATGACAAGAGCTTTTGATATCATTATTGACTGATATATCGATATCTAACTTTAGATTCTAGTAGACGAGAAAAGACAAAAAGTGTGCTTTATTTAGCTATTGTCTGTGATGAGTGTTCCCAGTTCTTAATTTTCTTGCTTTTTTTTCAATACACTGTGCATTGCTGAGTAGCTTTCGAAAAAGGAGAACACTGTAGTTTTAGTAGTGAGTCACAAGCACCAAAACTTTGATGTGAAATAAGAAAAAAATGACAAACCTCCGAATATATATATATAGAAGTTGATAGTTTTTATGTTGTTGCTCTGGATTGTAAAGTAGTAATAGGATTACATTTGTTTGTAGACCATAAGTTGCACGTTATGCAACTCTAAAGAAACCCTTGATGCCATTCACCACTAATGACTACTGGTGAACTTTGACCTTTTAAACTTTTAGTCAGAGGCATTATGAACCTGAAGTACACCAGCTGAAATCAAGGACAGTGCCTTTATTTTTCTACCGAGTCATCCAGAATGACCACACGTCACTAAATTGCAAAATTGTCTGCATGACGTAACGAGATCACAACTTGACCAACCAATCAACGAACAGATACTACACTACCCATCATTTTAGCAGCATTTTTTTACATGCTAATTTTACAATCTAATTAAAACCCAGCAAACAAAGGCGAAATATGAAACTGAACCTATTTAATATTTAACGTCAAGTTAGAAACAATTATCCATTATAAAACATTGATCTATTATTTACAATATAAAACAGAAATCTAAAAACTGATTTAATATGGTTCAATAAATGATTTAGTCAAAATTCACATATTCTGAGACCCAACATATCTATGATGGTACAATAAACTCCTGATGGTAATTCCATTCTCTTACAGGGAAAGTTCACCCAAATATATGAACCCTCTGTCATCATTTACTCAACCACATGTCATTCCAAATGGTTTCATTGGACCACACTGACTTTGATTGTATTGACAATAAAAACATGGACAATACATTTTTCAAAATGACATCTTTTGTGTTTCACAGAAGAAAAAAAATGCATACAGGTTTGAAACATTATGAGGGTGATTTTGGATGAACTATTTCTTCAAGCACTGAGAATGAATATTACATTAACTATAAAGGAATTGTCTTGTCATTCATATATATATATATATATATATATATCATATGCATATGTCATATATATATTTATATTTAAATGGACGTTCTGGGTGTTCCTGTTGGATTAAAGTAGAAAGATACAAATGAAATACACACACAGTCCTTTTGTCCTTCGTCAGGTCGTGAATATGCCACACCTCTCCAATGACATGATCAAAACCTGCTGCACCAGCAAAATCGAACACCCCTTTCTCTTTTCCCATCCCCTCTTATTTCAATTTCTTATTTCCACCCCCACCACCATTTAACTCCATTTGCCTCTCTGGTGCACCTTTAATCTGATCAGACCTTCCTAACCCCTTCCTCCAATGCCATCCGGATTAGAAATTCTACAAGTTGGCTGTTGATCACCTTTGTGAAAATTCCGGTTGGCATATTTCCTGTTTTTCTATATAGGAAATATACCAATTTTAAAAATATTGTTTAAAAAGCACCTCACAATATTAGCAGTTAATTATATATGCATCCATGTTTTCCTTTGCACATTTCAGTTTAAAAACATGCATTTTAAGTTACAAACAGCATGCATAAAACAAATATATCTTGTTTTAGATCACTGGCAGACAAGTTCAATTAATTAGTACTATTTTTCTCATTCTCTCTTATTCACAGAAAAAAATTGGCAAAATAAATACCCGGCTTTCAATTATACCTTAAAACAAAGTAATTTACTCTCTAAATATGGTTTAGTGATGACTCCATATTTAAATATGGATATATTAATATAAATATAACTGATACACATTCATCCAGTGAACAACCCCCAATTTAATGTTAGCGTCCCACTGTTTTCATCAGTTCAAATCAAAATAACATGCGAGTCAAATACTATTTGACTTCACTTCATTTTCCAAATAAGCAAATTCGGTTTACAATTCTAAAACAGGAATATATTAAGTAATGTATTGATTCTAAAAGCGGTATGTCCACATCAACATTAAAGGTTTCCCAATTTAAAAAGCAGACTTTAAAAAATTAAAATAAAAATAAAAACAAAGGACTTGATTATCACCTTATTGTGGCCTTCTGTGTACAATCGGAAGCTCCTTCTGTAATTACTTGCTAATAGTTTCTTTCCCAAGGGGTTCATAAGTATTTTTTATGCAGTTTTTGAAGTAAAGATGAAAGATTTTGAAGCTTGAAACGTCGTCAGAATCAGTTCAATTCAAATGAATTCAATTTGAATCAGTTCAATTCAAAGGAATTCAATTTGAATCAGTTCAATTCAAAGGAAAAAGAAAAAGTCAGACCAATAACATATCTGTAGCATCCACCAAAGTTAGTGATGCTTGGTTTAAAAGTATTTTCTGGTGATCATTGCAAAAATATTCAAATTATGAAATAACCAACATGACAGAAAGATGAAGGCAACAGATGTTTGCAACGAGTAAATGAATGAACTGCTTCTTTAAGAAATGTGTATGTTTTTTATTGAATTTTCTAGTAGTAAAAAAATCTTGGTGTTTTTCTCTGCGTGTCGTGTGTTGTCTTAATATTTGAATGTATTTACTGCAGAACAAAATTTGCCAAAGATATCATGCCACTTGATTTCAATCTTTTTGGTTCTTCATGACTTATTTCTTCATTTTATTCAAATCTGTCCACAAGCTGGAAATAAATGTGATTTGAAATTGATTTTCTAATGGAATTAAATTGTTATTGTTATATTATTATTGTTATTATGATGATGATTTTTGTTTGTTTGTTTTACTGTTGTTCAGGGTTATTCAATTGTCTGGCATTCCTCCTAATCCCTGATACGGGGTCATAGGCTACTCTGTGTATGTGCATATGAGTGAATGTTGTTTGTGTATTATCAATTCACGTATCTTGTAATGTGAAACTAAGAAGTAATTATTTGTAAATATTGGCCATAATTTTATTGGTTCATCAGAATAAAAGTACTTTTTTAAGTTCACAGGTTGTATTAGTATTGATCAAAAAAGCTTGACTGTCATCATATTGGTCTTTCCCCCGTTTATATTGTCATTTCACACATAGAGGGAAGTGGAAATATATTACATACTGTATATAATATTCTATAAAATATGGCATGCGGTTGTGAGAATGCCATTATCATGATTATTATGTTTAAAGGGATAGTTCACCCAAAATTAAAGTTATGTTATTAATTACTCACCCTCATGTCGTTCCAAACCCATAAGACCTTTTTTCATCTTGCACAACACAATTGAGCACAAATAAAGATTTTTTTGTAATGAAATCCGAGAGCTCTCTGACCCTCCATAGACAGCAATGTAACTGAAATGTTCCCAGGCCCAGAAAGGTAGTAAGGACATAGTTAAAATAGTCAATGTAACATCAGTGGTTCAACCGTAATGTTATGAAACTATGAGAATACTTTTTGTGCTCAAAGAAAACAAAAATAACGACTTTATTCAACAATTTCTTCTCTTCCGTGTCAGTCTGGAAAACACATGCATGTCATGACTCATGAATGCGCTTCGAAGACTGACATAACTAAATTTTAAGTTGAGAGTATGACAAATTTATATTCATTTTAACATTGTAGCATACTACAATAATACACACGTCACTAATGTTTCTTTATAT